TTAAGGCCTCCTCATATCTGCCACAGATTTAGTCTGGATATGAGCGATGCCGAATACCAACAAAAAATAAAAATCAAAAATGAGGAGTGTTGATCGGCCCGGAAATATAGGGCCAGCTTGAGAAGCTCGGCTGGCCATATTTTCGTGACTGGAGATTGACCGGACCGTCCACTCGCACATATAGAGGGTTTTACGCGGTGTAAACACTGGTCGACCAGCAACTTCTAGTCTAGTCATGGGTTTAAACTATAGTATGGGTCATGACTCATGCGAGAGTACATATTTCTAGTACTCTCTCCGTTTCTAAATATAAGTCATTTTAGAGATTTTAATATAGACTATATACGAAACAAAACGAGTGAATCTATGCACTGAAACATGTCTATATGCATTCCTATGTAGCTTGTATTGAAATCTCTAAAAAGATATATATTTAGAAACTTAGGGAGTAGTATGTGTAAGTGCATCTAGTGCCACCCCTAGTTGATTTTGAAGTATTGACGACAAACTTAGTTGAGGGACTAATGTGTTTGTGAGAATTGCAGGATAACATAGGTAGAAGTCCCTCATTGATTCGGTTTTACTACCAGAAATGACCCCTAAAAATGTATGAAGACATTGAAGTCAAAAGTGGTATATGAAGATATTCATATTGAAGACTATGACAAAAGAAGACACGTTATGAAGCCTATGGAGCTCGAAGACATAGATCTTTCGTAGTTCTTTTTCTTTTGTGTTGAGTCATAGGAACCACCGTACTGTTAAGTGGGGTCCAGGAGAACCAGTCAGAATGACTGAAGTGATGCCTAAACCAAAAACCTATGTCTTCGAGTGAAGACAATGAGAGCGAATCTTGTCCAGAGCCGGACAAGTCAGCTTTGCTTGTAGCCCAAGTAAAGTTGCCATGAGAGTTTGAAATCTGATCATTGAGACACGTGTCAGTTCCTTAGTGACCCAGGGTCATTTCGGACAAATCAGGTCGGGTTGCCAAGTGGCTATAAATAGACCACCCCCTACAACCATAAACGGTTGGCTGCTCAGATTTTAGTGCACGGCTTCTGTCGTTTGAGAGCAACCCACCTCGAAGCCTTTGAGAGAAAATTCCTAGCGAGGAGAAAAGCCCTAACCACCCAGAGCCAGAGAACATTGGGCATCACTTAAGTCTTCTTGTCTGTGTGATCTGAAGACTTATTACACTTGAGGATTGTGAATCCTCCAAACGGTTAGGCGTCGCGTTCAGAGCATCCAAGAGACATTGTGGATTGCCAGTGAACAAAGTCTGTGAAGGTTTGGGAGTCTACCTTGAAGACTTACCAGAGTGATTGGGCGAGGACTAAGTGACCTTAGCTCAAGGAGAATACGGTGAGGACTTGGTGTCCTGAGCTGCGTGTTCAGGACTGGGTGTCCGGGACTGTGTGTCCTAAGGTTTAAATACCTAGCCGCTCCAACCAGACGTACAGTTGTCACAGCAACTGGAACTGGTCCAATACATCATTGTCTTCAACGAGCCATTGGTTTCATCTTCACTTCCTTTTACTTACTGTTACTCATTGTGAAGCCAGTGCATGCTTGCTATACCTTTTGTCTTCACAACGTAACTGTATGATTTGTTTGGCTTCATAACTTCTTCCTACCTGATCCTTATTACACTGCAGCTACTTGTCATTGTGCTTTCACTCTATTGAATACTTGACCATGGCTTGCCTAGTGTAATCTAACTTCCGCTGCATAGTGATAGGCTTATCTCTACTGTTTGTCTTCATAACTTCCACGTTTTGAAGACTTTCATAAAAGTCGCCTATTCACCCCCCCTCTAGTCGATATAACGCACTTTCAATTGGTATCAGAGCAAGGTGCTCCCTTGTTCTGTGTGATTCGGTTTAACCACCTGGAGTTTTAGCTATGTCGACTGCAGGGATAATCAAAGTCTCCGCTGCGTGCCCCGTCTTTGATGGAACTGAATATCCCTACTGGAAGAATAAGATGCGCATGCATCTTGAAGCCATTGACGTCGACCTATGGTATGTCGTCGAGAACGGCGTTCCCAAGGCTGGAGAAGGTGTCACTGCTACTGATGTCAAGAAGTTCACTCAACTGGACTCTACTGCCAAAAATATCAT